AACAACACATTTTGGTATTTAGTCATATGTTATCTTACATTAATATTTTGTGTACATTTGAATATACATTGTTTCCCCCAGAAGACAGGTACCAACTTTTAATTTCTTTCAACTTCCACCTAGTACCTCACATAGGGCTAAGTATATGAAAGTGCTCACCTCACACTTCATGATTTCAAAATTTACTATACATCTACAATAACCCAAACAAGGTAGCACTAACATACAGGCAGACATATGAATCAATGTAATGGAATTGAGAGTGAAGAAATAAACCCATACATCTCTGGTCAATTGAATTTTGACAAGGGTGCCAAGTACATTAAATTAGGAAATAATAATCTCTTCAGCTGCTGAAAATCTATATATCCACATGTGAAAGGATAAAAGATCCCTACCTCTCACCATATATAAAAATTAAATGAAAATGGATAACTGACCTAAATATAATAGCTGAAACCATAACTCTCTTAGAAGGAAACTTTCATAGGGGTAAATCTTCATGACCTTAGGTTTGGTAACAGATTTTTTTTTTTAAAGGAAGAAAACTCATGTTATAGGGAAGTGCTATCCATGTCTATAGACTTAACTTCTCTGGCCTTGTAAACTGAATGGACATGAAGACATATGCCCTCGATTTTCCAAGAACTTTTATTTCAAATCATTTTCAGAACAAGCACTGTTGTTATTGTTAGGCAGTACATCTTAAATTTAGATTCAGAAAAACATTCATCAGAAGGAAAATACATAAAAATAAGTACCCTTCAAGTTACACGGATCCTGCAGACATACTAAACAATCAACTTCTGGTCCTGGTGGGCATATTGATTATAACCTATTATTGAGAAGTGAGTGAGTTATGTATCTTACAATACACAGCATTAGCTCTGGTGATTGCTTCTCTGAGTTAATTATGGTCAGCTGGATTTCTAGGAACTAATTTGAGCTATTTTCATGTTTTGTTTTTCTTAGGACTGTGCAAGACTTATTTAGCTGGAATTTCTTAAAATGTTTTTAAAGTTTTAGAAGTCAGGCCCCTAGTAATATTGGGCAATGACTGGCAGTTAGCCATTGGATCTTTTGGTTTTAATGTGGTGATGGATTCTTAGATATGATACCAAAAGCATGAGCAAAAGGAAAAATAGGTAAATTATATTTCACACACAGACACACACACACACACACACAAAACCCTTTTGTTTTCAAAGGGCATTATCAAAACAGTGGGTGGACAGCCTACATGAGAGAAAATATTTACAAACAATATCTGATAAAGGTATAATACCCAGAATCTATAAAGAAAATTTATAACTCAAGAATGAAAAGACAAAAAACTCAACTAAGAAGTTAACAAAAGACTCACATAAATGTTTCTCCAAAGAAGTTTTATAAATAGTCAATAAGCAATGAAAGGATGTTCAACATCATTAGTAATTTGGGAAATACAAATCAAAACAATGAGGTATACCATCAGGATGAGTACAGTCAAAACAACAGAAAATAAAAAGTGTTAGAGAGATTGTAGAAAAATTGGAACTCTCATCAATTGCTGGTGGGAATGTAAAATAGTTTTCTCCCTGTGGAAAACAGTTTGGCAGTTCCTCATAAGTTAAATATAAAATTACTATATGGCTGAGCAATTCCACCCCTAAGTAAATAACCAAAAAAACTGAAAACAAATATCCAAACAAATACATGCACACACATGTTCAGAGCAGCATGATTCACAACTACCAAAAAGGTATAAATAGCCCAAGTGTCTGTCAGTGGAGGAGTGGAAAACCAAATTGAGGTCGATCCATAAAACGCCATATTATTTAGGCATAAAACAGAATGGTGTACTGATATATTTGACATTGTGAATAAACCTTGAAAACATGCCATTGGAAACAAGCCATATATAGAAGGTCACATATTGTACTCTTCCATTTACATGAAATATCTAGAATAGAAATAGGAAGCAGATTGATGGTTTCCTGGGGCTGGGGTGAAGAGGATATGGGGAGCAGCCACTGCTTAATGTGTACAGAGTCCCCTTTGGGAATGACAAACATTTTGGAAGACAGATTAATGGTTGCACAAAACTATAAATGTACTATGTGCTATTGAATTGTTCACTTTTTGAAATGGCCAGTTTTATGTTATATAAATATCACCTCAACTATGAAAAAGGTTTTCAACAATTATGACCCATACTGATATATTCATTAATTTTGGATGTATAATTATAAAAGATAATTTGTAAGCACATTTGATATTTGAAAAATATCTCCATTAGTTTATTTTCGAACTTGCAATGTTTTCTTGGTCTAGACATGCTTTTAGATATCAGTGGAATAATCCTAACATAAGCCCATTGAAAGTACCAGGATGGTGGGCAGATAGGGAAGGTGATGCAGTGGAAAGCCCAGGGATTAAGGAAGCAAATGCCAACAGCCAACTATTCCTGCAATTTATACTGAGTTTAACCTTTCCTGTCAATGAAAGACTGATCAAGTAAGCAGAGTTTTTCAACCTCAGCATTGTTGTTACTTTGAACTAGATAATCTTTAAGAAGACTGTGCTGTGCATTGTAAGATATTTAGCAGAATCTCTGGCCTCTACCAACTAGGTGTCAGTAGCAACCACTTCCCTCCTCACTTGCCAGATTCCAGTGGAAGAGGGAGGGGCAAAATTACCTGTGGTTGAGAACTACCAGTATAGAGTGAGATCTTTGGAAGTTTTAAAGCAGAGTTTTCTAAACAGTGATGGTGTCTACAGTGTCACTAGTGGGGGTGGGGGGAGTTTGAAAAAAGATTTTGTTGTGATCATGGTTAATGATCCTTTTTTGAATGCAAAGGACCTGCTCATTTTTAAATAAAAAGTTTTTAAACCCTTTTATTTAATTGGTAATTGTATTTAACATTTTTTAGTTTAGTTTTTTTTTTTTTTTTAATGTTCTTGACATTGACATATCCTCAACATCTATTTTGAAATTTTCTGGCTTGGTAAAAAACCCTAAAATATTGGGACTCACTGCTTTAGATCAGAGCAAATACATTGTTTTCCTTCAGTCAGCTTTGAATAGTATTTTTGGATCTATACAGACCTAATTGCCACGTAACTAGCTCAAATCAGAGAGTCACTTTTAAGAGCCAAGATGAGACAACAATAGAGAAAACTTCTCTTAACGCTGAGGCTAAAAACTGGTAGCCTACAATTCCTACATGGCTGGCAGATGCTCTCTGTAGGACAGCATAATTATTTTAAAGCTGTGATTTAATTGTTAACATTCAAATGTAAGATTTTAAAGATTCACTTAATTATATAAGAGACAAAGAGGGAGAGAGAGCAGGGAGAAGGGCAGAGGGAGAGGGAGAGAGAGAAACTACAGGCGGACTCCCAGCTGAGCGTGGAGCCAGACAACGCACGGAAGATGTGGAATAGCGCAGGACTCAATCCCAGGACCCTGAGATCATGACCAGAGCCAAAATCAAGTGCTTAACTGACTCAGTTACCCAAGTGCCCCAAATGTACAATCTTACATTGAAACCTACAATGCTCGCTACTCTTTAATAACGTTAGACCTACATTTTGACATGGCAAAAGCAGCTGGAGCTGAGAAACTTGTTCCCATTCAATAATGGTATGCATTTACCACTGGGCCCATTTCTTTCCATCACCTCTTAAATTTGTCCTACTTGACTCATTTGTGCTATTCTTAGAACACATTGTTAAGAATAACAAATTGTTCTTGTTATAGCAAATTATTATTATACTGTTCTCTGCCTTTGCACTAGCCAGAATGAGATTGTTTGGTCAAAAGAAACGTTATCTAATAAAAGAAGTCTCCATTTCATTCTTTTTCAAAGCTCTTTAAAGCTCATCTTCCAAATACACTGATGGTAAAAAATAATCAATTTAAAGAAAAATCAAGCCAGTATTTTGGAAATTTTGTTATTTTGTCCTTTTTATTTGTTTTATGTTTAATTCAGGACAAGAATAAATCAAGTTTCTGCTTTTAACTGTGTAATTCAGCTAGGTTTTAAGTATTTTTTTTTTCTTCCTCCATCTACCTAAAGGGTATATCTAGATTCAGGGGTAATAGTAGATCATCAGGAAATTGAGAGCCACTCACAAGGGGAGGGACTGATTGATGGAGTTTATCAGGATTTGACAGGGGAAGATACTATATACATTTTAAAAAATTCAGTAGGTAGTTCTAAGAAACGTTCCTCTAATACCCCAAATTACTCCCAAAGAGAGTTATTTATTTTGAACCTTTCTAAACTTACCCAAAAAAGCTTGGAAATCCTTCCTGATTTTTAAACATACATGAGTGGATGCATATAGGGAATGGCTAGTAAAAAGCCATATTACTAAGAGCTCTGATGAATAAAGAATTAAATTAGCCCCAGAAATGGGATCAATAATCACAATTTAAAAAAGTCTTTTCTTCTTTCTCTGCAATTCTCCTCAATGATTTTGTCTGCATTCCATTTATCTTAACTCAGAAGCAAACATGAAACAGGATAATAAACTAAAAAACAAAATTAAAACAAAACTTATTGGATTAATACCCATACCTCTGAATGAAACATTTTATATTTTGAACAATAGCCTTTTTTATATCTAACCCACTTAAAGTAGTTGGCATTTCCTTTCTCATTCCTTGATTTCCTAATGGATGATTCTTTCATTTTATTTCTCTTGTTACCTTTCCCCTATTATTACATACATCTATCAGTCACTTTCAAAAAAAAAAAAAAAAAGGCAGCTTTGAAAATAAATAAATCGTCACTAGCCACACTTTCCCTCCAATCCAGTTTAATATAATTGCCTATCACTCAAATCTAACTTCCACTTGCTGCCTTTTTTTTTTTTTTTTTTTTTCCCAGCTCAGGTCATGATCTCAGGGTCAAGATTGGTTCTGCTGCTGGTATCGATCCTCTCTCTCCCTCTCCTTCTGCCCCTCCCCTTGTCTCTCTCCCTAAGAAAAAAAAAAAAAAAAAACTTGTTTGTGGATTTACATGGTGCAGCTAGAAAAGTTTTGGCGGACTAAGAATTTGGGTAGAAATAGAAAATTTGAGCCAGCCCATACAAAAAGGGAGGTTTTTGCGTAACCAAAAGAGGAAAAATGTTTTACTCTTATCTCCACTGCAGTCTTCCTGGGCTCTTCCGCTGTCCGTCCCACATTCATCCTCTGAGTTTTCTATCTCCTGGATAACCATTCTCTTCCCTTTGGTTTGAGCCCTAGATGCAGGTTCAGAATTTTTCAGATCTCTCTCAACCTCCGACAAGGACTTTTTGGCCAACTCGTTATCAGGTTCAACATTCAGTACTTTATTCAAATCTTCTATAGCTTCCTGGAGCTTGTTCTGATGTTTATATGTAGGCGCAGAAGAGCTTTCAAGTTCCCAGGTTCTAACTCCAAGACCTTTTCATAATCCCGGAAAGCACTGTTCCAGTTCTGTAGTTTGAGTTCTGCTTGAGCACGGTTGTTACAGACCGCCACGGTGGGGAGCATGGATATGCTTCTAGTATAATACATCACAGCCTCTTCATAGTCCCCTGAGTTAAAAGCTTCATTTCCTTTTTCCTTTTCATGAGTAGCAAGAAAAGTCTTTTCCTTCTTAGTTAGACCTGCTGTGTCTATTCTTGTCTCAATTTTAGACAAATGTGACTTGTTGTTTACTATAGTTTTTTCTCTGTAATCTTCATCAATTTTTGAACATTCCTTTTCCACGTCAAACTTATCCCATTCTGCATAATCCCTCGGAATTTTCTTTTTAGGTCATCTGCTATTAGAATATTTTTCCTTACTAACATGAACACAGCTGTTTGAACCACGAACTGGAGGCAAATGATCTTCCATTGCTGGAGATGTTTCAGTTTCATGAAAGTGCATTTTATTTTCGTCTTTTTTAAGTTCCGACACCCAACTCTTTATATCACCGTCAATTTTTTCCCATTCTTCTGCTTTAAAACTGGCCGCTGTTGCTGCAGGTTTATCTTTTCTCAAAGCTCTACTTTCAGGAGCCAAGCCTTGAAGACGATTTTCACAGAATTCCGTAAGTTCAGGATAATATCCTTCCTCACCAGACCTGAGCACATAAAGTATTTTTTCCAAGTGTTTAACATCTGAACATTTTTCAATATACTTAAAATCCAAATGTTCCACAGGAATTTTAAATGTTTTTGTTGTTCCAAAGCCCCATAATGATGGATAATTGTTGGCAGTCATGGCTGGTTCGCAGACGCCACGCAGAGGATCCCACTTGCTGCTTAACCTGTATTTTCACTCTCATCTTATGGCCTAAAATCCAAAACACGTGATTGCTATGGCCAATTCTGCCTTTATTTCAATTAGATCATGTCTCTGAGCCTGAGTTTCCTCATTTGCAACCCTTAAATTTCATTCCACTACTTGCATTCTATGCTTCTCTAGGATCATATACCTATAGATTCAGATGATTCCCTATACCCACAATGCTCTGGCCTAGTGGACCAGGGCAGGAGCCCTGTGGCCGAAGCAAGATGAAGGCATACATTGCGCTTTGTCAAGGGTATTATGGTGGATGGCCAGGGGCCACTTGAAATTTTTACGGTGCATAATCTCTGCTCTTCCTATCTTTCCCTTTGGAACATTCATCCTTTAATCTCTCAGCAAATGAATGAAGAGATGAATGCCATGTCTGCTAGAAAATCTATTTGATTTCGCTGAATGAATTGGCTGACCAGATGAGAAGACGACATAAATCAAACTTGTTTACTTTCTAGACTAGTTGATAAATAAATCAATTCCTTTTTAGTGATTTTGCACTGAAGACAGAAACTGTATCAGTGTTATGGAGAAGGGTCCCCACTACAAACTCAGGAGAAAAATATCTTCTCATATTGGACTTGGGATTGATAAATATGGAGTAACAGATGTACAAATACAAATTTTTCTTTGGTTTAACTGAACTAAAATTATTCTTTGCATCACAGAGGCTTAGATTTTCCTAACAATATCTGCTCTCCTTCCACAATCTTATGGATACTGGAATTTATTTTTAGCTGGCAGGTTACTAACCTCACAAACCACCTACAGAGAATTGGAAAAAAAAAAAAAAAGGTTGCTGCTAAGGGAATGATATCTTTTGCATTCTTGACTTCATTTTAAACTGGAACCATCTTAATGTTGCCTTAATGCAAGGGAAAGAGAATGTTTGCGCTTAACAATACCTGGGGTTCTTTTAGCTGTCACTTAGCAAGATCCAAACATTTTATACAACATGCTTTTAGAAAACTTTTGACCTTTTTAGATTTTATTTTATTTTTTTAATTTTTGTACCAAATGTCAGGAACCATCAAAGCGCTTGTCTTAAGAGAAAAGGTCACTCCAAAGAAGAAAGTCCTGGGTTGAGTGACAGTGTTTCTCTTTGTCTAATCCTGTGTGTCAAGCACTGATTGTAGAGTGCCTGAATGATAGCTTACTTTCTGCACTGGTCCTGGATGTACAAGAATGTTTCAGGAACTTCCGCAGCTATTTCCTACCTATATCTGGTGAAATGTGACAATTAATCCAAATCCAACTGTCATAGTAAATGTAAGTCAGTATTTTGAAGTGCACAGCTCTTTGTGAAAGCCAGTTATATATACTCCAAATAGAGGAAGACTTTTTTTTTCTTTTTCTTTTTTTTTTTTTTGATAAGGTTCTTTTTTAAAAAATTATTTATTTATTCCTTTAAAATTCCTTTAAAAATTTTTAAGTGATTTATCACTGGCCTGGATTATCATTATGGAGGAACCACTGTGAACTAATTGACATTCAGGAGAATGGTTTTTGCTTATAACAATGTATCCTTGATTCACTATCAGTCTTACTGCAATTATATAATACAGTAAGTGTCTAAAAGCACAGGTCTGTTGCAATGAAACAGAATTACATTCAAGACTTTTCTTAAAAGCTAATTCTATAAGTAAATGAAGTCACACAAAGTAAGTATTATGAAATTATTGCAAGTATTATAAAATGCTATAGTTGTGATGGGCTTTCTTATTGACCATTAAAGAGCTGTTTTGTTTTGCAGAATAGAACATTGGGACTGAATGAAGCTGCAGCTAATCATATTGCCCAGGAACTGTAGCTCATTACTGACAAACTGGAGGCCAGAATCCTGTCTCAGGATCTCTTGTCCAGGGCATTCTGTGCTCATGCTGTTTGTGCCATCTAAAGTGCGCAGATGACCAGAATTTGAAATCTATTACTTGTACAAATAGTAATGATTGACTAGTTTGAGGAAATGTCACTGGTCACTGCTAAACCAATTTTTTAGTCTAGGCATTATGATCTTACAAGAGTAATGTAACCAAAGAAATTGTGACCATAAGATAACAAAGTTTATGATCTAGTTCTCAAGTTTGAGATTTAAGCAATCTATGATTTGTAATCTCAGAATATATACTATTGTACTCTATCCATGATATTTAGAAAGTATCTCAAGGTCTGAGAAGGATGTAGTTTTGAGCAATTAAAAACCATCAGGATTATAAATCTCAAAAAATTGTACATGCTAGCACTCAACACCATTTTTTAAAGTGTTTAGATAGCTGTTAGATGTGTTCTTAAGAGAAACTTTCTTGAGGGTATACATTCTGAAACTGTGAAACCCATAACAAAGAACTACCATGTTCTCTCAGGAATCAAATAATGATTCTAAGGTGGAAAAGGCAGGAGCTGTTAGTGTTGGCAAGCAAAGAAACATCAACAATGAGTGTGACTCAGGATTCTGTGACAGTAAGTGTCTCCATTTCATCCCCAGTTCATCCATCTACAATTATGTACCAGCCACTGAAGCTGGAGAGAGAAGTCTGAAATTTGAAACATGGTTGCAAATTAGAGCCCAAGTCAAGTAAAAATTATTTGTCACCAAAGTCTTGAAAATTTCCACGAAGAAACAAATAGTAATAATGCATCATGTCACCAGGATTACAATGAGGTTTAAACGTCATTAAAGTCAAACTTAATTTGACATCATTTTATCTGTATACAGTTTGCTTTCATTGGTATAAGATATTAGTATTACCTTATTTCCAATAGACTCTATAGTCAAACATATGACAAAAATAAAATCTGGAAGATTAAAAAATGGTCTGTTATAACCACAAGAATTTCAAGAAGACTCTGTTCTTGTGCAGAATTTAAGGGATGCTGGACCCATAGAGAATACCCAACAGCAGATCTTATCTGCCCAAAATATCAAAATATCAAGCTGAGTAAGAATAGGAAATCACTAGTAAAACGTTACACTTTTTGTCCACCAGAACACACACATCTGCCCTCCACCAAACCTCTCCTGCCTTTGTTCAGTGGGCCAGACACCTGCCTGCCACAACAGGAACAGTAATGACTTTCCTTCTTCCAAATCTTGTGCAAAAGCCTTTCATTGGTATAATATAAACTGGAGCCTTCCAAGGAAAGGGAATCTGGAAAATGTGTTTTTATAGCCTCCAATCTCTGCAATAGAGATGATGGAAAAAGTTATGCAGAATAATGCTAAGATACCGATAGGCAATACAGCATGATTTTTGTCATAAAGATAATGCAACTTGATGCAAGTATTCCTTATTACCTTTCTTTCTCTATTTTGGGGCTGTTTCTATTACATAAATAAATCCAGTTGTATATTGCCAGAAGTTGATTTGGTTAATGTCTACAAAGGAGATCTCCATCTTGGCTTCATTACTTTCTCATTTTGGTTTGGGGCATTGGCAAAGACAGGTTATTGCAATGAGTTATTGGAATCAAATTATTTCTTATTTGTGAAGACAATGGTCCAGGATTGAATAAATTTTACCTTTTAAAATGTTCCAGCCAAGATATTTGCATATTGTGATTTTATTTTTGAAAATGTAAATTGCAGTGTGGAATGGGACACAGTCTTTTTTGGAAATGTAAGTTTTAGTTAAACCCATGATTAGTATATGTTTCATAATAAAGAAGATCACCCTGTAGCAGTTGTCCTTCAAGTGAGGTTCCAAAACCAATAGCACCAATATCACAAGTTTGAAATACAAATTCTCTAGTCCCATCCCACTGGGTTTGAGCCCAAAGGTCTGCATTTTCAAACACTCTCAAGTAATTCTAAACCAAGATTAACTTGACAACTACTGGTCTACATTATGAAGAATTGGGAGAATCTGCTTCAAGATTTACATTTGACTCAGGAAAATACAATGTGAATATAGGAGAGGTGCGTATGCATTGGGTGTTATAATGAATCAACTTATCCTTATCCCAGAAACTGTTGGCATGATCCAGGAGACTCCACTAATCATTCCTCTTCCTTTTTTTCTCTTTTCTTCCTTCATTCTCTTTTAACCAACTGAGCTACTCAGGCGTTCCCATTCATTCACCTTTAATCTACAGGTTCTAGCATTTCAGTTGTAGTACTCTTTGTGATTAATATTTCCTAACAAGCTGCCTTGATGGACTTTTCCACTCAAATATCTAGGGCATGGAATTTTAATATATTTTATTTTATTTTATTCTTTAACACCTACCATTGATCAATGTTTTGAGGGGCTTCTTCCTATTCTAAACATGGCTGCAAAATAAAAACCATACCTTTATACCCCAACTTTTCTCAGTGCTTTTCCCCATACCTTTGCTAATGTTAAAGATCAGCAAGCATGCCATTCTTGTTTAATGGATTTATGTCTAATTACTGGTGGTTGCTAGAGGAGAGAATTTAGGAATAATAAAATAAGAAATGTGAGGGGGATATAAATGTTAATGTCCATTCTCTTCAATATATATCTCCTGTCACTGTTAACAATGTTGCTCCAAAAATACTCTCGAATCTTTTTGTTCCAATTCTCTCTTTCCCCTTCTCTTTCTGCCTCTAACACACACACATGCAAGTGCATACACACACACACATGTGTCCTGCTGTGGTTGTGTGTTATTCCTACTCTGGTAACCTGGTGAAAATTTTTGAGAAGCACTGTGGTGAGCACTCAGAAAAGCACTGAATACAGTGGAATGCTGCTTATTTGTTTACTGTGTTTGTAATACAGCTTGTATTTCCAAATAGATGGCAAATTTATGAGAACAGTGCTCACACCTCATTCTGTTGCACACAGCACTGATTCTCATTCACATTAGTTTTGGCAGAGTGCTGACACATGAGAATTGTTCATACATTCTGAATACCCTTCTGTTGCACAATCTTCTACTATTATTCACAATCATCTGAGCTTCAGGTGGAGCCAGT